ACATTAAAGGATTTCCTTATAAGTATTTTATCAATTTTTATCTTATTTCCTTAATATCCTTAAATGATAAAAATTAATGGAAAATCAATTACGAATTATAATATTTCTTATGAGATTCCCAAGAAAATTAAGACCTTCATATGGAGATTTTATTTATGAGAACTAATATTCACCTATTGGTAGTATTTCGACCATTATATAGTATACAAAGAAAACAGATGTTAAAAATCCTTTGTTTTTTTTTAATTTGTAATCCATATGTTATAGTAATTTCGAATTTTGGCTACAAATATATTAGATTTATACTTCTATTACTAAATTATTATTAATATCCCAATATTGAGTTATATAATATTGTTCTTTGGAGATATCGAAGTCGAAGAAAAAGTGTCCAATTTTTGTAAGCTTTTTATTCGTGAGTCTCAGAAAATAATTAATGTGCTGAAAAGAATCGGCGAGAAACTTGACGTTTGTATGTGTGTAGGTATGTATGTTTGTTACTCCTTCACACTGAAACGGCTGGACGGATTTGGATGAAATTTAGTAGATTGTTAACAAATAGTTTGAGTTAAACTAACTGACTCGTAAACTCTCAGACACAGAAGCTAGTCGCTTACTATTCATATACAGCATGAACAATCTAGTCCAAAATCAATCCGATATAAAAGTCAAAATTTATCTCATCTTAAGAGATAGAGTGAAGAAAGACCTACATATTAAGCAAACAACAAAAAAATTCTCCATATAGTACAATGCCACCCTAATCTCCCGAACATTGAACCCGCACTGTTTATTTCTAAATTTTTGCAGTCTGATAACGTTATCGACGCAATTCGTTTTATCTAAGCCCGTGCGTTGCACCATTGCAACAGCGAATGTCAAATTGCATTTATTTCAATCTATTGACATATATTTTAAATAATATTACTATTTAAATTATGTGTTTGTTCGTTTAACTTTATCATCTAAATGTATAGGTACTGTTTTAGTGTCACATATTTGCTTTTTAGATATCCACGATTTAATTGTATGTATAATTATTTGATTTTTATATCAAACTAGCATTGCCCGCGGCTCCGCCCGCGTTGTGATGACCAAAAACCAAATTCTTAGGTTTTATATATTAATGTAGGTACTCTTACATTGCAGTTTTTGTATTTTTTCTCAGAAATGAGATATTTTCCTGAGGTAAAAAGTATCCTATATGTTGACCCGGATAACCAGCTATCACCGTACCGAATTTCATCAAAATCCCTCCATCGGTTTTTGTGTTATGCGATAACAGACAGAGAGACAAACAAACAGACAAAAAATCTAAAAACCAAAGATTCGGCCTCTGTATCGATAATAATGTTTATTTCAATAAGATTTTTCAAAAAATGTTTACTGTACAGATTTCACTTAGAATTTTATTATACTTATGTATGGAAATCATAAGAAAACAGATAGCCAAAAGGAAGTCGGGATTCGGTAATAGCTCTCAGTACGCCTTCGTATTGTAGGCCCGTGCCCAGCAGTGGGACGTTAAAAGGGCTAAATACAATAAATTTAAAAGAAAAAAATTAACGAAACCAACAATTTTTAACCTGAAACTTCTATACTTTTCACTTATTTATGTATGGACCACACATAAAATCGATAGTGAGCGTAATGACTAATCAGATAAAGATAACTAATGTTGAATGATTCATATTATGAGACAGTACTTAAGACCAAATTACGACCTCCGGGCCCTTCAAACCCGCATTGGTGATAAATGCTTTCTAAGAATGATCGATCAAAATTGTTCATTTAGAAGTATTGATTTTGTTTTGGTCCTTTGCATTCTTTTTAATTTTTTGTATGAAGAAATAAATGCTATTAAAATTTGAAGACTATAATGTAGATGATGTTCTCCTAGCCGATTCCGGCCACGGCGGCAAATCTCATTGAGACTAGCCAATTGCGCAGGAGATATTATAGTGCACAAGTGTACGCGCAGACACAAGTGCACTCTCTATTCCTATCACTCTCATACTCTGGTGGGACGACCACTCGACACGACCAGTGAGAGTTAAGGCGCAGGACCGACGGCTTTACGTGCTCTCCGAGGCACGGGGGTGACACACCGCCAACTTCCCAACTCCGGGCTGTTACTGAGACTTATTATACAGAAAGACTCAATAAGTAAACTTGGCCCGACCCGGTACTCGAACCCAGGACCTCCGAGTGTGCAGCCGTACATGCTAGCCACTACACCACCGAGGCAGTTCTATAAAATGTAGATAGATCTATAAAATGAATGTTGGTCTATTTGTTACATATAATGTAGGTACTTACTATTTATCCGATTTGGAAGAGTTTTTGTGGAATTATGATTTCGAACGTTTATTATAATCAGCATACAAAGGATATACGTAAGTCTATACTAATATTATAAAGAGGTAAAAGTTTGTGAGTTTGTGTATTGTGAGTTTGTGACGTTGTAGAGGGTAATCTCTGGATCTACTGAACTGATTTAGATGAAATTTGGTAAGGAGATAGTTTGAGGCCCTGGAAAGGACATAGGACACTTTTTAATCCGGGAAATCATCCCTTAAAGAGGTGAAAATGGGGATGAAAATGTGTATGGGGAATAAACCTAGGGACGAACCCGAGCGAGGCGAGGCCCGGTGAGTCGCTAGTACCTTATAATATGAAATAAGCCATTCTTGTATATGTAGGTACCTATAAATTGATTTCGTGTGTTTCGGAAACGGCTCTAACGACTTGGATTAAATTTTGCTTTAGATCAATTTAGATAAGGTTTTTTTTTAATTTATATATACAGTTTTTTTTGGAAAAAAACAATTTTTATATCTTTACCGAAAAAACGAACGAACGAATGAACGATGTAATGATACGTATCTATATATAAAACACACTCAGAAAAAGTCAGGACTGGCCACTAGTATACTTATATTGAAAGGCAGTTAGTCAGAGTCACAGACAAAGATTAGTTTCACTGTAACAACGGTAACTGAAGCCCTGAACCCTATTTGCCCTGTAATCATTAAGCTGGTCACTGAACTTTTTTCCTTGTTTCATATATAGCTAAATAATATTATCAGAACCAGTTAATTTGATAACATTTCGTAGCCTCTTGTGATAAATACAACTATTTGTTAACAAATTTTTTTTCATGTCTAATATTATACTAATATTAAAAATTGCCCGGAAAATTTGCAAGGAAATATTGAAAATGCTTTATACTATATGATTTTGTACGTATTCAAACATTAAAAGCAAAATTGAAAATTGGAAAATGTCTGTCAGTTCAAATAAATAATAATTACCTACCTAATTAAAAAAGTATATGAAAGATAATTAAAAAAAATACATTCATACATAGGTTTAATATAAGTAGGTATATATTTATGTAAGTTTTTTTTAAATATTTCTTGAGTGATTTCTCTTAATTGACTTGTAGAGCTCGATTCCATCTCACGGAACTAAACCAATGGTAGCGACAAGTTGAAATATGAAATTTGCGGTTAAACCTATTAAGGTCAATAATTTATGCGTAAACACTATTATTATAAATGTAAAGTATAATATTAATTATATATCACATTATAATATTCTTTTATCATAATGTGGTTCGCATAACAAAAACAAATCTAATCCACGGAAACCGTACTTTTCTGGGATAATAAGTAGCCTTTATTCTATTCCAGACTATAATCTATATTTGTGCCAAATGTCATCCAGATCCGTTCAGCCGTTCCGGTGTGATTGAGTAACAAACATCCAACCATCTATCTAAACTTTCATATAAATAATATTAGTATAATACATATAGGTATAAGCCATAAACCATTTCTCTTGTGGTATACAAACGTCTAAATAAAAAACAATTTTAATGTAAACCTATTTTGTGTCGAGCTTTTATAATTAACCAGGTCATAGTCTATCTGTGTATTGTATTCAGCCCTTTTTATCGTCCCACTGCTGGGCACGGGCCTCCTTCAATACGAGGGGGATCAGGCCATAGTCCACCAAGCTGGCCAAGTGCGGGTTGGCGGACTTCACATATCTTTCGAAAACTTGCTAAGTTCCCTCAGACATGCAGGTTTCCTCACGATGTTTTCCTTCACCGTAAGGCAAGTGGTGATCATGCTAGAAATGATTCGCACATGAAATATCAGAGGTGCGAGACCGATGGGATTTAAACCCGCATCACTCGATTTCCCAAGCGAGCGCGTTACCACTGGGCTACCACTGCCTTGCCTATCTGTGTACTTTTTATCAAAATCCGTCCAGCCGTTTCAGGTAGAAGGAGTAACAAACAAACGCACACACAAACACACATACACACTTATAACATTTTCTGTACAACAACAAAAGCTGTTTTAACAAATTTTATTTTTATAGGTAGATAGAGATACAAATTTGATTTGTGTACACTGACTGCTACTAACTTTTATATGTGAATTATTTCCAACATGATTACCATTTGTCTTACGATGAAGGAAAACATCGTGAGGAAACCTGCATGTCTGAGAGAACATAGCAAGTTTTCGAAAGACATTTGAAGTCCGCCAACCCGCACTAGGCCAGCGTGGTGGACTATTGCTAGATACCCGTCGAAGTTAAGAGAGGCCCGTGCCCAGCAGTGGGACGTTAAAAAAGGGCTGATTACATTACTATGAATGACTCTACATAATTATATGTAGAGACATTAGAATATTACAGTTCTATGAAATAAAAAAAACTTATTTTTGCAATATTTTGTTTTAGGTACCATAATTCAAAGAAACTCATGCAGCAATATAAATTACATTAAATATATTAAACCCTCCACGATCGCGGACACGCCGACGTGTCAGTTAACAATATATTTCTTAGAATTTTAATTAATTTCTTAGAAATTTACCTGGGAGTGTTATTGATGTGTTTCTCTTCTAACCTCAAAGATGGTAAGCAAGCATATGCCGTCTTGCTACTTGCCTGATGAAAATAAGTAACTTAAGTTTTGCTATATGTATGATGGCAATACCAGAACACCACAAGTCACGGGAAACAAACAGGATAGCTGGTAAGGAGAAGACAGTATAAATTTTTGAGTTAACTATGCTTTTTTACCTTTCAGTATCTCAAACACATGAATTTTAAAAAATAATACTAAATTACATCTTTGATTATAATATAATTTTAGCTTCATTTATAATATTTATGAAGATTTTGTATATAGGTAGATAGACCCAAAAAGCACTGGTTGAACCACGTCAGCTTTTAACAGTAAATGTACCTACTTGTTTATTAAAAAACAGTCCTAGAAATGGGGATTTTTGGGAACAATAATGAAGTCATGCAGGAAAACTAAAAGGACGTATTAATTTTTTTTTATAATAAACGTTTGTTTACATAGTTCGCTAATTTTGGTAATTTCAGGAAACCAGTTGAGATTGTGGTTTTCCTGTTTCAAATTCGGAGCAAATGTTTTCATTCTATTGTTTTATTTATTTTTTGGAACTACTACTGACCCGTAAGGCAGTGATAGCCCAGTGGCTCGCTTGGGTAACCGAGTAAAGCGGGTTCAAATCCCGCAAGGTCTCGCACCTCTGATATTTTCATGTGCGAATCATTTTCAACATGATTACCACTTGCCTTACGGTGAAGGAAAACATCGTGAGGAATCCTGCACGTCTGAGAGAACCTAGCAAGTTTTCGAAAGACATGTGAAGTTCGCCAGCATGGTGGACTATGACCTAATCCCCCACGTATTGAAGGGAGGCCCGTGTCCAGCAGTGGAACGTCAAAAAGGGCTTAATACAATACTGACCCGTCCTGACGTAACTACCGATTTGTATAGTAATAATTATATGTAGGTATACTTATAATATCTAACATTACGCTACGGTCCTTAGCAGAGGAACTAATAAAAAAACGCGCATGGGTGGTTATTTCCTATATAAAATAGCTGAATTTCAATTCTCTTTTAGTGAACTTTTAAGTAAGGTAAAGCAGATATTTCTACAAATTTATTTTTAATTTTTTAACAGTATAATATGTTAGATACGTAACCGTAAAACAATGTGTTAAAATTGTAATGCGTTATGTCATATGTGAGATCAAACTTGCAATTTTGATATTTTTGCTTTTTTTGTAATTTAAAAGTGCGCTTTCCAGAGCTTAACTACAGGACTACAAAAAAAATATAAACCTTTTTAATATAATAAGTTAACTTAACCTCTACTTAACTTACTTAATTAACAAAAATACTCAGTTTTAGCACAGATCATATAATTTTGGTTAAATATGAATTGTAACGAATTTAGACGTAAAAAGGCCGAAAGGATAATTTAACGTCGAAATGAACATTTTTCGTAAAAAATCAAAAATATTTAAAGGATATATATTTTGTAAAAATTAACTTCTTAATATCTGTATATCTCAGTATGAAAGAGGTTACAATTTACGTCTTAGCAATGCAAATAATAGCCACTGCTAATGAAAAGATTGTGAAAGCGGAAAAAGTTTGACGTACCTACTCTTACATTGTCGAATTTGAGACTTTTGCCCTTTGGCGTTTGACAACATTTTATTTAAAATGAAATGGAAAAAATTAATTATAAAAAATTAAGAAAAATTTTTTTTTTGGATATTTACCGATTCGATCTATTGAAACACAGCAGCTATATGTGTATATATATATATATATATACATACATATATATATATAATATGTATATATACATATATATATAAATATATATATAAATATATATATATATATATATATATATATATATATATATATAATATGTATGTATTTATAAACAAAATTAGAAAGCGGAGTTGTGGGCAAGAACTAGTTTATTCAATTAACTGATTTATGTTCCGAGGAACAGTATTGCCAAAATATGTTTTGAAACGTCTATCATATTTGTGGTTACAAATACGTCATAAAGGGTTACGCCAGTCTTCAAGATTTTTAAGGAAAATAACATGACCAAAAATTTTAAGATGACAAATCATATATTATTGTTCAATTTGCCTGTAGGTGTGTTAACAAGTTTATTATCCTTATAATTTCGATGTTATAGTTTATAAATACTTTTGTACTTTTACAGCTGTAATAAATGAATGTGTTGGGACATTAACACACACCACCCTCTAGTTCCATGGTAAGCTACGAGGCTTGTGTTATGGATACCAGATAGTTGATACACTACACATATATAACTATAAATCCATACATTTTATAGATATAAGCATTAAGCACCCATGACTGGAGTACAAACATTCGTGCTCATCACACAAATGAATGCCCCCAGCAGGATTCGAACTCCGCGACCGCTGGCACAGCAAGTAGTGTCGTCAAACTGGCAACTGTGTTGAATGCACATAGATTTCATAATGATACAAGGAAGTCCCTTACTTCGCTCAGGAGCGTTTCTAGCTGTCTAACAGTCCTATGTGTTACTCCAGTAGGTACGTCTATTTGGGTACTAGATTTAATCCAAATTTGTTTATCCGTTTCAGGGCGAAGAAATATCAAATAAAAATAAACATACAAATCGCATTTGTACACGTTTTACCTGATAGCGATGGTGTGGGTATTTAGATCGGAGAAAGTATTTTTGATTCTTATTTAGGTTTATTAATATTGCCTTTTAGCATTTATTAACAGCCTGGACTAGTGCAAAGGACTCAAAAAGAACAGCCCAGTATTTTTATATGTTTATTTCTGTATTTATATGTACAAGAAAAGATTTTTTTTACCATTTACTAACTTACGTACTTAGTTTAGACATCGCTGTCTAGACAAGAAATTGTGGATATATGTATTGTCAATAAGTACATTTATACATCGGGTATAGACTGATATAACATATATATGTAGAAATCGAATCTGCAACCTTACACATAGAAGCGACTCTAAAAAAGCGGATATATTACATTTGTAAGCTTTACTACAAAAGGTCCAGCTTTTCTTTTATATTCTATTGAAATACAAAATCTAAAATATCCATCAGTATACCGAAATAAAATTCAATTCAATGCTTATTATCAATTACAAACATGTTTAAATAAAATACCGTAATATATTGTCTCAAATACACCTGCGAGAGGGCATTGTATTGTGTGGGACTGAGAAAGATGTATACAATATTTATATAAAAGAAAGAGATGGATGTATCCATGACCTTAGTCAAATTGTGCAGAATTGGCGGGTCAGTGACACGATAGAGATAAGATATGAATTTCGGGTAAGTCGTTCATTATTTTTAGAAAGTAAACATGTTATGAGAAATGTTATTCAAATGATAAATGAAATATATTTTTTAGAGTTATAAACATTCATTGAAGAAATTTACTAAGCAAATTTTGATAGTACTCTATAAGAATAGTTAAAATTTTGTTTTTTTCTGTCAATTATATACGTACAATTTTCTATTAAAACATCAAAGATTATAGAACCTGCTACTACATGGGACTAATGGGAAGTAGGATGTGATATTTTACGGTTATACTGCCTAGGCTATTAGCTTCAATTTCATCCGATTTCATATAAATGTAACTACAAAACGATTTACAAAATTAAATTTATTCAAACAATCCATTGAAAAGTACAAACCGGACAGGATAAAAAGTAAAATTCGATAACGAAAATGACAGCGAAAGTGACGCACACTCGCAAACACACACAGACCTAACCTTACTCAACTATTGGCCGAATACTCGAGGCCATTGACATGCACGGCTCGAGGCCGAATGCATTTGGCACCCGTTTAAAAATAAAAGAATTCGAGTGAACGAAATTCGCTTTTAAATGAAATTGAATTTGGAATGAATGAATGATTTGACGTTAGTTTAATTGTTATCTGTGCCAATTAATTGCTGTCAATGGAAATCTTGATAGAGGCGGTAAACTTTGAACTTAGGTAAGTACTTATATATTTTCCTAGAAGCCATGCAATAAAAGAATTGAATTGAATTGAAATATATAATTTATATGCTAACAGATGTTTGTTTGAAATGAATGTTATATAATATTTATTCATTACTAAATTAAAATAATTTTATACTCGTTAAGTTATTAGATGGGAAAAATTATTATTAGATATATTTTTCTCAGAATCTACATTATAACCTTCGATGCGATCAAATTCAATAATTGTGCTGAAATTGAGATTTATTTCTATATGATAGGTAGGTATATGTCCAAAAAATGTTTGAACGATAAAATGCTTTCGTTATCACAAAATGTGTTGTGATTGCTTAAAAATTCATAACATGGCAATGTTAAACGAAGGTGTCTTAAGGTGTTTTAATTTTTAATTTATATTTGATCAGTTGTAATTTTTAGTATGGATTAAGAACATTTAAAGGTTATTTGTAAATTCTATTGAAAAATAAATAAAATATTCCTTAAACTTCTTTATGTTTATTGTTGCCCAAATATATAAACAAAAAATACCTACAATTTTTTAATACCTAAAATACGTTGAAAAGTAATGACGTCGAAAATGACGTATTTTGAAGTAAAAATATTTGACATTTTCAAATATTTATTACAAATAATAGGTAAATACTAGTAGTACCTACTGTAATAAGATAATTGTGAACTTAGCATATTCTTTTAAAATGTTATCTTATAGTTTCTCAATTAAATATTGTTTAAGTATCTATATATTTTATACCAATTTTTTTTTCTTTACATATAAAGAACCTACCTACAATAAAAAAAGTTAAGCAAAAATAAAATATTAAGTTTTATTTTATTACTTTTACAGGTTTTAGTTGAATAACGTATTTTTCCTCAATTCACTTCTTACTCTACTTTAGACGATTAATTTGTCATTTCGACAATTTATACGACCTAGATTAAATTGTTTATTTGATAGAAACGCTTATGACTTGATTTGTCAAAGAAATTGACTACTCTGTTTTTTTAGAATTCTGCACAGAAAAGTTTCGTGACAATTTAATATCACGAAATATTACAGAAAAAAATATGCATGTTGCAGTTTGATATTTAATTTTAATTTATTTAATATATTTATTACTGAACTATTGTTACCGTATATATATATCCTTCATATATTATAGACATAACATTAATTTAAATGGATGTTGTTGTTTCATAATATTGAGAATATGAGCAAGTATTTACATGCTGACTAATAAAAGTTTGTATCAGCACCTAGTCGATGAAGTAAATAATAACCACTGGAAATATTATGTAAAACACTTGACACATTACCCTTTATAGTGTTATATTAAGAAAATAGCAGTTTTGTATATATGTATTGTAATAACCTTGTGTTATTTCTGGGTTGTATAAAATACAAGTTTTTTTTTTATAAATGTATTTTATTTTAATATTTGATAGTTATATTTATCGTATAGATAAATAGATAGTTACATCGTTACGAGCGCACCGGGCAGTTTATTGACGCCGCATCCGTCTGAACTTGGGTTTAAGCCTCTGTGAATGTCATCTAGGCTCAGTACTACTGCAGTGGTGTGTACGACGTACGTGTGCACCGCGCACAACAAGCGCACATCATAAACAACCTAAATTGAAAAAAAAAGTTAAACGTCAAATTCGAAACATTAAACGTCACAAAATATATTCCCGCGCGAACTATCGTGCGAAAGAGACGGCCTCTCCGCGACTGCTATTTCTGTGACGTCGGCCGGTGCATAGCGAAATAAAATAATGAAAAGTGGCAGTAATTTCGTTGTGTTTACGCGCGTTGCTAGTTTGTTTGGTTACCGCTTTTTTTCTGTGCAACCTGTGGTGCCATCTGTGCTACGCATGGCTCTGTCAAAACAGTAAGCTCAAGTGATTTGTGGGATGCGAGGATTTTTCGTGGTGAAACTGTGGCGGCGACGCGGAAAATTGATGTAGCGGTGTTTTTTCTCCGAAACTTAACCTACGACAATCTTTAGTTGCGCGCGAGCTGTCTTCGCACGCGCTTCGTGCCGCATCCGACACCAGATACGACGAAAATACGCCGAATGGACCCCGAAGTGGACCCGAGTGCTACCGAAATCGTCTGCCGAACTTTGCCCAAAAACAAACTTTCAATTGCTAATTGCGAAAAAAACGCACTCGGGGCCCTCAAGTGAAACCCTTTGCTCAACCCTGTGATGTTAGACCTAGACATAGTGCCTTATGTACAAACTAATAGATTAAATTGTGATGTCATAGTGCAAAATTAGGTAGATTCTAGTTAAGTGGACTATTTTTTGGATAAACATTACCCGGCTCTGTGCTTATGGACTACTGCATAGCCTCTTTAAGGTAAATCGTTTTTACGCTTTTAATTACAGTTATAGGTAATTTGTGTCGAAGGAACGCCAATCTTAATCTATGAACTTGATTGCATTGGCGCGAAGTTGGTTACACATCAAGTGCATTCCTAGTTGCGCTTGCGAATTCACTCGTGTGAACCGCTAACTTCTGATTGAAAGTTGTCACGTGACTTTAGACCTTATTGTAGGATATTGATGTTGGTTTGGGGATGAAATTTAAGTTATAATCTGCATTTTTAGTTATTAAGGTAGTTTAGATATTTTCTTGTCATTTTGGTCTATTTTCCTTTGTGCATGCTCGTGAAGTCAGACCAATGGCCATGATTACTCGCTATCGCACATGTATACGTGTATATATGTATGTATATATATTCTAAGGTTACTATTATGATTTAATTGAATTAGTTATTTATTCCCTTTAACAGTCTCAACGATGAATAACAAAGTGCTTGCGTTACAAAAGTGACACATTCTTTAAAGAAATATAAACAAAATAAGTATAAGTAAATAAAATAAGTATATAAATTCTATATCGAATGACAATACATAAATATTTAAGTACGTTTTTAATATTTCAAATGCTGCGTAGTTTCCTTTGTTTTAGCAAATTATATTTGACATCTCGAAAGTTTTCTACACAACGTTTTTACGATCGCAAGCATAGATTACAACTTTCTAGAAACAATGAAATTCATTTTCTAGCCATTTAATAATTTAATTTACAACATTCAAAGATAACTTTTAATTTTTAGTGTTGCAATTACTTTTAAGTTTGATTAAGTTTTGATGTAATAATAATTAATCTTCAGGGTTGAGTTTTCAATCTTCAAATAAAAATTCATAACATAGGTATAACGTAAAGAAATTGAAAATGACAGTTGTATGAATAAGTAGGTCAATTCATTCACTTTTGTATTTAGTTAGGTTATAATTTATTCAATGGAAATAACTTTTACCAAATTATAATTTTAAATCAGTTAAAACTAACTAAATTATAACAATATACAATGAAAATAAATACATACCTGGAAAACCTTTAGTCTAGATATTAACAGAAAATATACCAATTTATCATTACAATGCCAAAATATTCTATTGAATTTTCTCTTGTCTATGACTAGGTACGTAAAATTAAAAAATCAAATCCGTTATAATATATTCATTTCTACAGACAATCGGTACACTGACTTCAAAATCAATTTAAAAGTAATTATTTCACCCTTTAAGGTAGATTTTTTCTTAAAAATTATATGCCTTGAGGTAGGTATAACTGATAAAAATATCTCACATATATAAATAAAGGAATTTAAAAAATAAATTAATTAAGTATAAATAATATATTGTACAACCTATATAAAATAGTATATTTTTAGACATTGCCATTTTAAAGTTTATTTTTATTTATAAAAACATTAATTTTATAATTATTTACTTTTAAACGACGGTACGTCGTTGGGAAGAACAAGAAAAGCTTGAGAAAGACATACCTACATACAAAAACAAAACAAATAATGGTAAAACTTTTCGATACAACTATAGCTGTTATAATATTCGTATTTGGTACTGACAAGAATCTACCCTAAAACCTAAAACAAAACAATGGCTGACAATACTTAGGCAGTACTTGTTGTCCATATCGATTTCCTCGCCCGAATTACACCGTTAAAATATTAACAACATGTGTTTGGACATTTTTGCCGCTGTTCAATAGTTTTATGGCGCTAGTAAAACAAAGCGATTTTTTTTGAAAATCGTTAAAGTTGTGCCTTTTTATATTTGATCATATATTTTTGTGCAAATTTGTGGAAAATATCAATGTAAAAGAAAAGAAAGCTCGTTTATACGAGCTTATGTTAGTTATGTACGTGTTTTTAAAGTTCCACTGCTGAACGGAATTCCCATCAATATAGGGGAATCGAGACATAGTTCACCACGCTGGTCGTTGGCTGTTGTGGGTTGGCGGACTTCACAAGTCTTTCCAAAACTAGTTAGGTTCTGTCAGATATGCAGGTTTCCCAACGATAATTTCCTTCACTATTTGCAAGATCCAGAATTTGAACCCACTTCACTTTTATTTTCAAGCGTGCACTTTAACAATAGGCTACTACGAGTAGTTTTAGTTTTTTTTATTTGAGTAAGTCTAACACCCGCAGACATACGTTCGTGCCTTTTTTTGAGCATTTTTACATTTTGTTGTTATTATTTTTATTTACTTGAGATGGTCGTGCGTGTACAATTTTAGATTAAAAATACTTGGTAAAGATAAAGTTAAAGATTACTAGTTTTAGTTACTATTGTCTAATTTTAATACATCCTTATATTATTATATATTATATCTGTACGTAAATTCATAAAATGTAATATTGGAAAAATGTGTAAAGTTACGTGACATGTTATGGATACCAGATAGTTAATACACAACACTTATAACTTATACATACATATTATAAATATAAACACCCATGACTGGAGTACTAACATTCGTGCTCATCACACAAATGAATGCCCCCAGCTGGACTCGAAGCCGCGACAGCAAGTACAAACTGAGTCAAACGGGCCACCAGAAATGTTGAAAGAAAAATGCCGGAAAGGTACCTATAGTTTTGAATAACATGGAAAGTCACGACTATCTTAGTGATTATCTACATAATTTTATTGACAAAGTCGAGGACGAGGTACTTAGATTTTATATCTTTATCAAGAAATAGTAACTGTAGAAGCAGCAGATTTTTAATTACATCAATACTAGATACTAGATAATGACTTATCTCCACTAAAAACATACATACATATTAATATTTTGCACTTAGTTGTATTTTTTTGCTATACATTTCCAACCCACAGGTATTCATTGTATAGGATAAAAAGTATCCTTATAAAGTTAGGAAATGCATTTATGCATACACCCTGCATGCGTACAGGTGGTTATATGGGACTCACCGGCAAAGCTAGTACTACTCACTAAAACCTTACCGTGCCGGGAGACTGGAGACCGTCTTAATGATGCGTCGCAGGATCACGTATGCCTCAACTACGATGCCCCGACGGTAGACTTGCCGAAGCAGACCACAACAACCATGGGGTTGCTCCAACAGTCCACTCTGCTATCAGAAAAGTACCAGAAATAACTCGCATGGCACGCCGCTCACCAAGGTTTGCCGCCCGCCTCCCAATTGCTTGGCTTGGTTTAAAGGTGAAAGCAGAACGGGGGGACAAAAAGTATCCTATCTAACTATCCAGCAAAACCAAATATTATTTATATATATATATACCTACTAGCGACTCACTCCCATCGTCTCTAGGTAATTTTTTTTTTTTTTTGAGCGGAGCCCTAATTCTTTTTCTAAAAAAAAGTAGTCTATGTTACTCCCTATAACATCAGCTATCTTCCAGTGAAAGTACCATCAAAATCAGTCCAGCCATTACAGAGAATATCTGAGACGGACCGACAGACAAAAATTTAAAAAAATCTGTTTTTCTTATAAGTACCGTATATAATTTTATATGCATTTAGTAAAACGCTGTTATTTTGACATTACAAACAGACACTTCAATTTTATTTATCTGTATAGATTACTATTTATATGCAAGAATTACATCATCAAACCAACAAAATAAACGCACATTCATATTTAAAATATCAGTGAGGGTAATATTAGTCAGTACTTTTTATTTTAACAATTGGTACCACATTGGCATGTTAAAATTAACATGACCATATAAGAAAGGCTGACCAATATACCACCAAAATAACTTTATAACAGGATAAAAAAGTATTTTATTTTGGTTACGTTGCGATGAAAGAAATCAGTCCTTCTGCTATGAGCAAATCAATTTTAATTATAAACATAGAAGATCATTTTTGCTATAATTATAATATTAGAAAGCATTTTTCGGAAGCCTACTAGAAATTAAGTCGAGCTTTTAACTTAAAATTATAGCAATTTGCAACTCAAAATAAACGAAAATATTAATATTAAAATAAAAGAAAATTAGTTACCGCTAAGTTTAAGCTTTTAGGTCAAAACAAAGTTCCACATTTCAGCAAAAACTTTGGAAAACCACGAATTTTTCAACTCAATCTTAGGAGTAACTACGTTTGTGCCACGTTGCGGATGTGAAAGCATACTTAATTTAAATTTCTTATGCCCACAATAAAAATAAAATAACAGAGCCCAGTCGTAAGGCGCTTATTTTGGAAACCAAGTGTAGCGGGTTCATATCCCGGGTCTCGCACCTTTGATAATTGATATTTTCATGAGCGAATCACTTTTAACAAGAATACCATTCATCTTACGGTAAAGGAAAACATCGTGAGGAAACCTGCATGGCTGAGAAAATCTATTAAATTTTTGACAGACATGTGAAGTCCGACACCTGCACTTGGCCAGCGTGGTGGACTATGGTCTGATCACCCTCGCGATCTTCAATACAAGGGACGCCCTAGTTCAATAGTGGGAAGTTAAGGGTCTGAACACATTATTTATAAAATACATACATACATCCATAACATCACGCGCTTTCCCTCGCGGTGTAGCCAATGATTTTATTTGTTTGTGATGAAAATTGATACGCGCGTAGCCTACAGTATGAGGAGCTAATTACTTTTATCCCAATCTAGATATAGACTACTTTTTATCCTACCCAATCAAGTTCTGAGGGATATGGTATGTACCAAGAATGATCACCCCAATATCCCAAGACGGACATGGACCTATGTTACAATATCCTTGTGAGAACTGCCAAGATATGAACGAATCGAGGACTTGTTATAAAT